CCCCATGTATCTGTTATGTATCCTTGGTGGCAGGTTCATAAATGTTGTGGTTACTCCGTTGAAGGTTTCGCGGGGCAGGAGTTTATGTTTACACATAATAACGAGCTAGAGATACAGATAAGACATTATTTTTCATGCATCAGAAATCGATGGTACCCCATCCACCCAATTCCCTAGAAAACAATGCAATGATGGAGCTATTGAAAAATATAAATCGATTCTAAAGCTCATTCTCGATATCACGTCAAGCAGGCATTGGTCAAATATCTCTTCACTTGTGAAGATGAATGTTGTATGCATGTCATCAGTATTGGCATCACTTTCTGTGGGGTTGTCGTTGCAAGGGCCTTTCGACAAATTCACACACCTGTGCTATGGAGGCTTCTACAAAGTCAAACATGCACATACTTACATCAGTTGTGTGAATTTGTGCTGGTTTTCCAAACGATGTAAGGCTATAAGCTGGCTCGGGAAATCCAGGGAATGTCGGCTTCATGACACAACACTCACCGATCCATCTCAGGCCATGACAGATCCCCGATGTATCAGTGCAGAGGTACACACATCAGAGATGGTAGGTAGTTTGGCGTTGTTATGGAAGGATGCATGAGGCTACAATAATCTGTATAACTTGTAGGTAGGATGGGAGAAAGGCATTGTAGGTTACCTGAAGATAGTATGGTGGTATGGTAGACATGGCGGTAGGTAGGATGGGAGAGCTATACATTGTAGGCTACCTGAAGATGGTATGGTGATATGGAAGACAAGAAGGTAGGTAGGATGGGAGAGCTATACATTGTAGGCTACCTGAAGATGGTATGGTGATATGGAAGACAAGAAGGTAGGTAGGATGGGAGAGCTATACATTGTAGGTTACCTGAAGATATTATGGTAATATGGAAGACAAGAAGGTAGGTAAGATGGGAAACCCACGAGCATGGGTATGGAGCTGACAAACCTAGAAACATAATCGGAGCGAACCGGGATTCGAACCCACAATCATGGGTTTCTGGCGTGCCCAAGGGACGCAACTCTGCACAGCGAATCGCGGCGCCTTAGACGACTGGGCCACCCGTGCCCCCTGGTAGAGAAGAAGGTAGATATGATGGCAGAGATAGATATTCAGGTTACCTGAAGATAGTATGGTGATGTGGTAGAGAAGAAGGTAGGTAGGATGGGAGAGATAGACATTGTAAGTTACATGAAGATACTATGGTGATATGGTAGACAAGAAGGTAGGTAGGATGGGAGAGATAGACATTGTAGGTTACCTGAAGATAGTATGGTGATATGGTAGACAAGAAGGTAGGTAGGATGGGAGAGATAGACATTGTAGGTTACCTGAAGATAGTATGGTGATATGGTAGACAAGAAGGTAGGTAGGATGGGAGAGATAGACATTGTAAGTTACATGAAGATACTATGGTGATATGGTAGACAAGAAGGTAGGTAGGATGGGAGAGATAGACATTGTAGGTTCCCCGAAGATAGTATGGTGATATGGTAGACATGAAGGTACGTATGATGGGAGAGATGGACATTGTAGGTTACCTGGAGAGTATGGTGATGTGGTTGACAAGAAGGTAGGTAGGATGAGAGAGATAGAGACTGTAGGTTACCTGAAGATAGTATGGTGATATGGTAGACAGGAAGGTAGATAGGATGGGAGAGATAGACATCGCAGGTTACCTGAAGATAGTATGGTGATATGGTAGACAAGAAGGTAGGTAGGATGGGAGAGATAGACATTGTAGGTTACCTGGAGAGTATGGTGATGTGGTTGACAAGAAGGTAGGAAGGATGGGAGAGATAGAGACTGTAGGTTACCTGAAGAAAGCATGGTGATATGGTAGACAAGAAGGTAGGAAGGATGGGAGAGATAGACACTGCAGGTTACCTGAAGATATTATGGTGATATGGTAGACAGGAAGGTAGATAGGATGGGAGAGATAGACATCGCAGGTTACCTGAAGATAGTATGGTGATATGGTAGACAAGAAGGTAGGTAGGATGGGAGAGATAGACACTGCAGGTTACCTGAAGATATTATGGTGATATGGTAGACAGGAAGGTAGATAGGATGGGAGAGATAGACATCGCAGGTTACCTGAAGATAGTATGGTGATATGGTAGACAAGAAGGTAGGTAGGATGGGAGAGATAGACACTGCAGGTTACCTGAAGATGTTATGGTGATATGGAAGACAAGAAGGTAGATAGGATGGGAGAGATAGACACTGTAGGTTACCTAAAGATGGTATGGTGATGTGGTAGACAAGAAGGTAGATAGGATGGGAGAGATAGACATTGTAGGTTACCTAAAGATAGTATGGTGATGTGGTAGACAAGAAGGTAGGTAGGATGGGAGAGATAGACATTGTAGGTTACCTGAAGATAGTATGGTGATATCGTAGACAAGAAGGTACGTAGGATAGGAGAGATGGACATTTTATGTTATCTGAAGATATTATGGTGATGTGGTAGACAAGTAGGTAGGTAGGATGGGAGGAATAGACATTGTAGGTTACCTGAAGATAGTATGGTGATGTGGTAGACGAGTAGGTAGGTAGGATGGGAGAGATAGACATTGTAGGTTACCTGAAGATATTATGGTGATATGGTAGACAAGTAGGTAGGTAGGATGGGAGAGATAGACATTGTAGGTTACCTGAAGATAGTATGGTGATGTGGTAGACAAGTAGGTAGGTAGGATGGGAGAGATGGACATTGTAGGTTACCTGAAGATATTATGGTGATATGGTAGACAAGTAGGTAGGTAGGATGGGAGAGATAGACATTGTAGGTTACCTGAAGATAGTATGGTGATATGGTAGACAAGTAGGTAGGTAGGATAGGAGAGATGGACATTTTATGTTATCTGAAGATATTATGGTGATATGGAAGGCAAGAAGGTAGGTAGGATGGGAGGAATAGACATTTTATGTTATCTGAAGATATTATGGTGATATGGTAGACAAGAAGGTAGATAGGATGGGAGAGATAGACATTGTAGGTTTCCTGAAGATAGTATGGTGATATGGTAGACAAGAAGGTAGGTAGGATGGGAGAGATAGACATTGTAGGTTACCTGAAGATAGTATGGTGATATGGTAGACAAGAAGGTAGATAGGATGGGAGAGATAGACATTGTAGGTTACCTGAAGAAAGCATGGTGATATGGTAGACAAGAAGGTAGATAGGATTGGAGAGATAGACACTGTAGGTTACCTGAAGATAGTATGGTGATATGGTAGACGTGAAGGTACGTAGGATGGGAATGACAGACACTGTAGGTTACCTGAAGATAGTATGGTGATATGGTAGACAAGAAGCTAGATAGGATGGGAGAGATAAACACTGTTGTTAACCTAAAGATAGCATGGTGGTATGGTAGACAAGAAGGTAGATAAGATTGTCGAGGGGAAGACACATCAAGCATAGTAGAAAGATAGAAACAAGGGAGTGAGTGAGTTGGGTTTAACGCCGCTTTTAACAGTATTCAAGTTATATCGCAGCGTGTCAGCTTAATGTGTGAGGAAAGCCCGAAGTGATGCAGGTCTCAGACGTTTACCACTTCGGTGAAACCCACGAGCACGGGTATGATGCTGACAAACCTAGAAACATAATCGGGGCGAACCTGGATTCGAACACAATCATAGGTATCTGGCGTGCCCAAGGGACGCAACTCTGCACAGCGAAACGCGGCGCCTTAGACGACTGGGCCACCCGTGCCCCAAGATAGATACTAGATGATAACGTAAGGTGGACAGAAGAGCGGTAGAAACTTCAAGTAAGGTGAGCTTTGTGGTGTGAAAGGATGCATAAGACGAGGTGAGATTAGGTTTAATGTAAGTCAATGTGCATTTGATTCACTCCAGAGTGAGTGAGGATTTAGTATGGTTTTACGCCGCTTTTAGCAATATTCCAGCAATATCACGGCGGGGAACACCAGAAATGGGCTTCGCTCCAAAGGTAACTATGATACACTAACCCGTCTTCTGACCCTGAATCAACCCACGGGGGGGAGGAGTCATCGAACGATGCCCACACATTGTAAGGTCCGATAGTATCACGTGGTGAAACAGTGGAATTCCCACTACAACATTGACTTGATTAACGTATCTCTGACAACGTGTTGAATCTACGATCCATGATATATTTTAGCCTCGTTTTGGCATAAAGTAGTGCTCTAATAGTTAAATAGAGCTGAGAAAGGGCTGCGCAGTACAATTATTATTCGGAGACGGTAGGTACCATGGTACCATGGATCCATACAACCGTATGCTGATCCCTGAACTATGTACATCTCTCCATTAAGGATCCATGCAACCGTATGCTGACCCCTGAACTATATACATCTCTCCATTAAGGATCCATTCAACCGTATGCTGACCCCTGAACTATATACATCTCTCCATTAAGGATCCATGCAACCGTATGCTGACCCCTGAACTATATACATCTCTCCATTAAGGATCCATGCAACCGTATGCTGACCCCTTAACTATATACATCTCTCCATTAAGGATCCATGCAACCGTATGCTGACCCCTGAACTATGTACATCTCTCCATTAAGGATCCATGCAACCGTATGCTGATCCCTGAACTATATACATCTCTCCATTAAGGATCCATGCAACCGTATGCTGACCCCTTAACTATATACATCTCTCCATTAAGGATCCATACAACCGTATGCTGACCCCTGAACTATATACATCTCTCCATTAAGGATCCATGCAACCGTATGCTGACCCCTGAACTATATACATCTCTCCATTAAGGATCCATACAACCGTATGCTGACCCCTAAACTATATACATCTCTCCATTAAGGATCCATACAACCGTATGCTGACCCCTGAACTATATACATTTCTCCATTAAGGATCCAGGCAACCAAACATTTTTCTCGTAATTTTACGTTGTATGATTTTGAAAAAGGACAACACATCATTTGGGGAATATGATATGATCCTAATACATATTTCTCTGTTAGGGTCCGAGTCATCCGTGTACAGGGCGTCCTTGTCCTGTCACCCATGTCTGTGCTCCAGTTGAAACAGCTTCAAGCCATGTCTGCCTCCCTCTAGAAGGTAATCATCACAACTATCAGGCCACCCTTTACATTTATTTCAATTACATGTAACCAAACTATATATCACAAAGGCGCGTGGTACACAAACAAATTGTTTGTTTGTTGTTTAACACCGCACTCAGAAAAATGAAAGCTATATGACGGCGATCTGTAGATAATCGAGTCTGGTCCAAACAATCCAGTGATTGACATCATGAGCATCGTTGGTTGGTTGGTTGGTTGTTTGTTTGTTTAACGCCGCACTCAGCAATATTCCAGCTATATGACGTCGGTCTGGAAATAATCGAGTCTGTTCCAAATAATCCAGTGATTGACATCATGAGCATCGATTCACGCAATTGGGCTACGATGACATGCATCAACCAAGTCAGCGAGTCTGACCACCCGATCCCTTTAGTCGCATCTTACGATAGGCATAGTCGACTTTTACGGCAAGCATGGGTTGCTGAAGACCCATTCTACCCCGGATCTTCACGGGTCTTATGTTCACATAAGATACAGTCGAAATCCCAATTATATATTCAGATTTAGATAAAACTAAACAGTTAAAACACGAATCTGTTATCCGTAGCAGATGTTAATGGAAGTAAGGCCAGGTTATCAAATGTGAAAACATGCATACAGCTAAAACATTCATCACATCTTCATGGGTGGAGACAAGCATGGGTTGATGAAGACCTATTCTACCCCAGATCTTCATGGGTGGCGACAAGCATGGGTTGATGAAGACCTATTCTACCCCAGATCTTCACTGGTGGAGACAAGCATGGGTTGATGAAGACATATTCTACCCCGGATTTTCACGGGTGGAGACAAGCATGGGTTGAATGAGACCTATTCTACCCCGGATCTTCACGGGCGGAGACAAGCATGGGTTGATGAAGACCTATTCTACCCCGGATCTTCATGGGTGGAGACAAGCATGGGTTGATAAAGACCTATTCTACCCCGGATTTTCACAAGTGGAGACAAGCATGGGTTGTTGAAGACCTATTCTACCCGGGATCTTCAGGGGTGGAGACAAGCATGGGTTGATGAAGACCTATTCTACCCCGATTCATGGGTGAAGACAAGCATAGGTTGATAAAGACCTATCCTACCCCTGACCTTCACGGGTGGAGACAAGAATGGGTTGATGAAGACCTATTCTACTCCGGATCTTCACGGGTGGAGACACGCATAGGTTGATAAAGACCTATTCTACCCCAATTCAGAGGTGGAGACAAGCATGGGTTGATGAAGACATATTCTACCCCGGATCTTCACGGGTGGAGAGAAGCATAGGTTGATGAAGACCTATTCTACCCCAGATCTTCACGGGTGGAGACAAGCATGGGTTGATGAAGACCTATTCTACCCCGGATCTTCACGGGTGGAGACAAGCATGGGTTGATGAAGACCTATTCTACCCCGGATCTTCACGGGTGGAGACAAGCATAGGTTGATGAAGACCTAATCTACCCCAGATCTTCACGGGTGGAGACAAGCATGGGTTGATGAAGACCCTACCTACTATCTTAACTGCAGATACTACCATAATCAATAACAGTATTCAATAAATGTAATCAATAACAGTAATCAATAAATTTAACCAATAACAGAAATCAATAAAACAAACAACAAAGCTTGTGTTATGGCGATGGTTACATCCACGTTGACGCGATATTCATCTAATGAATCTGATATTGATTGATGGAGAAAATACACATGTAAATGCTAAGGGTGCTGTCATGGTTACGCAGCCCACGCTAGCGAAAAACTTATAACCTCATAACTGTCCAAATAGCGTATGCACAAGTGCAAACTCGTGAGAAGTCAACTTACTTGGCAGACCGATTACATCAAGGCGCATTGACCAAGACGTTTGAGGATTTTTGAACACCAATATAAGAAAAACAATCGAAAGCATTAAGGCTTTACAAAGCATACTATTGACCTAGTCAGTACTAAATATGCAGCTTCCCTGATCTAAATACACAGAAGGTATTAAATCTCATAGATTTGTCAATGGCCACAGAGCCGAACTCGGTTTCGCGGACCTCGGCCCAAAACATCTGTTACGTGACCAAATTCTGTCTTCGCGTCTGACAGCAACTCAGGCCTTTAATTTAGCGTCGGGACGGACAGAAGGACAACCTGGTCTTCAGCTTGGGAGAATATCCCCGAGTCTATTTAGCAGCATATAGAGTTTGCACTTTAAGAACATGTCTCACATACAATACAGAACTGAGTGTTATCCAATGTCCGCCTTAAAGGTAAAAACCACAGGGAATTGAACATTTAACATATTTGAAACATAATAATACATTAGGACGTTGTATGAATTGTTTTACACCTGATATCATGAGATTGAAATCTAAATGAAAAGTACAAAAGTAATTAAGCACTGCAATCAATAAAACACAAAAAATGAGGCATGTGTATTGATATTTGTGACATTCATGTGTCTGAGATACTGATTTTAACAAGTGATATACAAACATTATTGTAATAAATCCAGTATCGACACAGAAACCGCGTCAACATGACAACAGCGATGACAGATTGAAATAGTATCAACAATGTTGAAAGTCCATGCGTGAATCACGACCGCCTCCCTTGATCCCTATGTAAAGGTACATACATCTAAGCGTATATTTAACATATATCTCAGTTTCTTCTACCACTACAGCTTTGGATGCCAACACTGCCACAACTGCAGCTTCTGCAACAGCAGCGATGATAACATCTTCTGCTATCACTGCTACGTCTGTGACGACTACAGCCCTGGATGTCACCACTGCTGCTGCCACCACTGCTACGTCTGTGACGACTACAGCCCTGGATGTCACCACTGCTGCTGCCACCACTGCTACGTCTGTGACGACTACAGACCTGGAAGTCACCACTGCTGCCACCACTGCTACTTCTGTGACGACTACAGCCCTGGAAGTCACCACTGCTGCCACCACTGCTACGTCTGTGACGACTACAGACCTGGAAGTCACCACTGCTGCCACCACTGCTACGTCTGTGACGACTACAGACCTGGAAGTCACCAATGCTGCCACCACTGCTACGTCTGTGACGACTACAGACCTGGAAGTCACCACTGCTGCCACCACTGCTACTTCTGTGACGACTACAGCCCTGGAAGTCACCACTGCTGCCACCACTGCTACGTCTGTGACGACTACAGCCCTGGAAGTCACCACTGCTGCCACCACTGCTACGTCTGTGACGACTACAGACCTGGAAGTCACCACTGCTGCCACCACTGCTACGTCTGTGACGACTACAGCCCTGGAAGTCACCAATGCTGCCACCACTGCTACGTCTGTGACGACTACAGACCTGGATGCAACCACAACGACAACTGCAGGCCCTGCTACTACCCCGCCTGCAGCTCCCACAATAATGACTGTTGCCACAACATCAGTGACTACTACAGATGCATCGTGTGAGCATGGTGGGTATCTCAACGCCACATGTGGGTAGTTAATGATTGTTGTTTTTCACTCCAATGCCCTGACAGGGTTTTACTCCTGCTCCTGCACATAGCCCAGTGTTGACTAAGTTCTCTCTGTCTTGCCATCTTCTGTTTGCTGCTGGGGGCACGGGTGGCCCAGTCGTCTAAGGTGCCGCGATTCGCTGGGCACGCCAGAAACCTATGATTGTGGGTTCGAATCCCGGTTCGCCCCGATTATGTTTCTAGGTTTGTCAGTACCATACTCGTGATCGTGGGTTTCACCGAAGTGGTAAACGTCTAAGATCTGCATCACTTCGGGCTTTCCTCCCACATGAAGCTGACACGCCGTGTTATGACTTGAATAATGTTAAAAGCGGCGTTAAACCCCAACTCACTAACTCACACTCTGCTACTCCACAACACAGCACTAGACATGTCTGATTGGATGAATGCATTAAAACATAGAGAATACTACACTACACTAAACAAAAGACTCAAATCAATCATTAATATGTGTGTAGGGTTTACATGATGTATATTATACAGGGCGTGCATTTCATTACAATTATTTTCGTGTAGATTCAGAGGGGGAACACGAGGACATGGTTGTCAGGCTTTGCATCTTGACATATTGCCTGTCTGGGGTTGTCAGGCTTTGCTTCTTGGATTATTGCCTGTCTGTGGTTGTCAGGCTCTGTGTCTTGGCTTATTGCCTGTCATGAGTTGTCAGGCTTTGCATCTTGGCTTATTACTTGTCTGGGGTTGTCAGGCTCTGTGTCTTGGCTTATTGCCTGTCATGGGTTGTCAGGCTTTGCATCTTGGCTTATTACTTGTCTGGGGTTGTCAGGCTCTGTGTCTTGGCTTATTGCCTGTCTGTGGTTGTCAGGCTCTGTGTCTTGGCTTATTGCCTGTCTGGGCTTGTCAGGCTATGTGTCTTGGCTTAGTGCCTGTCTGGGGTTGTCAGGCTCTGTGTCTTGGCTTATTGCCTGTCTGTGGTTGTCAGGCTCTGTGTCTTGGCTTAGTGCCTGTCTGGGGTTGTCAGGCTTTGCTTCTTGGATTATTGCCTGTCTGTGGTTGTCAGGCTCTGTGTCTTGGCTTATTGCCTGTCATGGGTTGACAGGCTTTGCATCTTGGCTTATTGCCTGTCATGGGTTGTCAGGCTTTGCATCTAGGCTTATTGCCTGTCTGGGGTTGTCAGGCTCTGTGTCTTGGCTTATTGCCTGTCTGGGGTTGTCAGGCTCTGTGTCTTGGCTTATTGCCTGTTTGGGGTTGTCAGGCTCTGTGTCTTGGCTTATTGCCTGTCTGTGGTTGTCAGGCTCTGTGTCTTGGCTTAGTGCCTGTCTGGGCTTGTCAGGCTCTGTGTCTTGGCTTAGTGCCTGTCTGGGGTTGTCAGGCTTTGTGTCTTGGCTTATTGCCTGTCTGGGCTTGTCAGGCTCTGTGTCTTGGCTTATTGCCTGTCTGGGCTTGTCAGGCTCTGTGTCTTGGCTTATTGCCTGTCTGGGGTTGTCAGGCTCTGTGTCTTGGCTTATTGCCTGTCTGGGGTTGTCAGGCTCTGTGTCTTGGCTTATTGCCTGTCATGGGTTGACAGGCTTTGCATCTTGGCTTATTGCCTGTCATGGGTTGTCATGCTTTGCATCTTGGCTTATTGCCTGTCTGGGCTTGTCAGGCTCTGTGTCTTGGCTTATTGCCTGTCTGGGTTTGTCAGGCTCTGTGTCTTGGCTTATTGCCTGTCTGGGGTTGTCAGGCTCTGTGTCTTGGCTTATTGCCTGTCTGGGGTTGTCAGGCCCTGTGTCTTGGCTTATTGCCTGTCTGTGGTTGTCAGGCTCTGTGTCTTGGCTTAGTGCCTGTCTGGGGTTGTCAGGCTCTGTGTCTTGGCTTATTGCCTGTCTGTGGTTGTCAGGCTCTGTGTCTTGGCTTAGTGCCTGTCTGGGCTTGTCAGGCTCTGTGTCTTGGCTTAGTGCCTGTCTGGGGTTGTCAGGCTTTGTGTCTTGGCTTATTGCCTGTCTGGGCTTGTCAGGCTCTGTGTCTTGGCTTATTGCCTGTCTGGGGTTGTCAGGCTCTGTGTCTTGGCTTATTGCCTGTCTGTGGTTGTCAGGCTCTGTGTCTTGGCTTATTGCCTGTCTGGGGTTGTCAGGCTCTGTGTCTTGGCTTATTGCCTGTCTGGGGTTGTCAGGCTCTGCGTCTTGGCTTATTGCTTGTCTGTGGTTGTCAGGCTCTGTGTCTTGGCTTATTGCCTGTCTGTGGTTGTCAGGCTCTGCGTCTTGGCTTATTGCCTGTCTGGGGTTGTCAGGCTCTGCGTCTTGGCTTATTGCCTGTCTGTGGTTGTCAGTCTCTGCGTCCTGGCTTATTGCCTGTCTGGGGTTGTCATGCTCTGTGTCTTGGCTTATTGCCTGTCTGTGGTTGTCAGGCTCTGCGTCTTGGCTTATTGCCTGTCTGGAGCTGTCAGCAGTCTCCTGAACGCAACCGAAACTAAGACATGCGTTCTTCAAAAGCTGAGCCGCTTGCCAGGCACGCAGACATGTTTGATGCATGTGATCGTAACCCATTCTTGGAGATCCATGATTATAACGCCAATCACTGGATTGTCTGGTCCAGACTCGATTATTCACGGACTGCCGCATATAGCTGCCACATTGCCCTGTGTGTGCAACAATAAACAAGAAACAAACAAAAACAGCTAATCTATGTTTTGCTAAGAAGTCCTGAACTACATCTGATGCTGATCTGGTTGCAGGTTTTGTGTATAAGGGATGCTACCTGGATGACATTGACAGAATGATCAACGACATCCACGACTTCCACGACTCCATGACGCATGAATGGTGCCTGACTCGATGCAGACAGGACAACTATGTTATTGCTGGACTTGAGGTAAGTAAACCACCAGCGTGAAATCCAATGGCTAAATGGTTCAAATAGAAATATACAACGTCACAAATATCCTCAGAGAGATTATTTGACACATCACTGTCAGAGGAAGCATCTTCAGTGCTTCAGTGGTTTGTATAACCCATGAATATACACGACAGCTTTGCAGTCTAGCCGCTATCTTTAACCAACAAAACAAAACAACTCAGTTCCAATGAGACGGAAATCAGCGAGTACAAAGATTAAATCCAACAAACAGCAATATTTTTTGTTCATCTTGCATCAAAGGGCGTTTTCAAAGTATCATGCACGGAGACGGTTTCAGTTATGAACGGACTCATTTCATTATTTGACTAATAACAGACAGACGTCACTCCTACACTGGCAATCACTCGTATGTATTCACGGGGGATAGCTGTGACGTAGCTGGTCTTTGGGACCGTTTTGCCTTGTTTGGGCGTGGTCCCGTTTGCTACGTCACAATGACCAAGATAGTGGGGGAATTAACTTGGTGGGGCTGATTACTCGGCTATCACCTTTAAACAGAGAGAAGGCTGCTAAGTCCCTTTAAGTCTTTATTCATGGCAGAGTGAAATTTTATATAGAGAGAGAAATTTAAACAATATTACGTTACAAGATAGATGCAGTCAATGACTTGTTACATTAAATACATAATTGACAACCATACATGAATTGATAATGACTGGTTGAAACTTTCTTAACAGGACTGTTCTAATAAATAAGGTACAAAAAACGAATTGTGAATACTGGGAGGTATTTCATGTTATTCTAGCTTCGACCTTTCATACAGGAACTGTTAACATTTACATTTACGGCATTCTAGAGTTACTCATGTATTTACATACAAATGTATTTAACATACTGTATAATTGCAATGCCGTAAATGCTTAACCAAATGATACGTTTGAGACGGTATTTACCCGATATTACCACAATGTACTCTTTCTCATGCTGGGGGCACGGGTGGCCCAGTCGTCTAAGGCGCCGCGATTCGCTGCGCAGAGTTGCGTCCCTTGGGCATGCCAGAAACCTATGATTGTGGGTTCGAATCCCGGTTCACCCCGATTATGTTTCTAGGTTTGTCAGCACCATACCCGTGCTCGTGGGTCTCACCGAAGTGGTAAACGTCTGAGACCTGCATCACTTCGGGCTTTTCTCCCACATTAAGCTGACACGATGCGATATAACTTGAATACTGTTAAAAGCGGCATTAAACCCAACTCACTCACTCACTAATATATGAACGCACATTTTCTTTCAGCTCAAAACACATTGCTTCTGTGGAAACTCCTATGACAACACGAAGTATACTGTCATGAGCGAAGGGGACTGCGACGATCCATGTAAGGGCGACAGCAGTCAGATGTGTGGTGGCTTCTTCAGACTCTCAGTGTTCCAGTGCACTTGACTCTCTTTGAGACATTTGGTTGTTGGTTGTTGTTGGTTTGTTGTTTTACGCCGCACATAATTAATCGCTGGATTGTCTTCATATGTGGAACTATGGTGTATATACAGACACCGCAGACACCAGTCGGTTTTGGTGACCTTGACCCCATGTTCAAGGTCACGGCAGGCAAATCTGCTTTTGGAGTTGGAAAACGGTGTTGCCGCGATATCTCAAGAACTAATCGCTGGATTGTCTTTATGTCTGGTTGGTTGGTTTGTTGTTTAACGCTGCACTCAGCAATATTCCAGCTATATGACGGCGGTCTGTAAAGAATCGAGTCTGGACCAGACAATCCAGTGATTAATATCATGAGCATCGATCCACACAATTGGGATCGATGACATGCATCAACCAAGTCAGCGAGCCTGACCACCCGATCCCGTTAGTCCGCTTTTACGACAAGCATAGTCACCTTTTACGGCAAGCATGGGTTGCTGAAGACCTATTCTACCCCGGAATCTTCACGGGTCCTTTGGGAACAATCATTCATGTCGTTGCTTTTTAGGCACGTTGATATAGTACGATTTGTTTTACGCCGCATTCAGCAATATTCCAGCTATATGACGGTGGTCTGTGTAAATAATCGAATCCTATTCTGTCAACTTACCAACAGACATTCACTTTTGTTTTAATTGTTGATATCACTTTCATTAAATGTAGTCAGTATCAATGTGCTGGTAACTGTTTTTACAAACGTGGATGGAATGATGAGTTTATTATCATGATCACAGGAGGATTTATATGGGATAAATAGAGGTTATCACGCGAGTGTGTTTGGGGATGGTAAATATCCTGCATTAGGAATAAACATTGTATTTAGCGAGCCTTGGCGAGCTAAATACATAGTGTTTATTCCTAGTACAGGATATTTACCATCCCGAAACACACAAGCGTGATAACCTCTTTATCATATAATGTCATTCTTTAATTCTGTGCTTCAAAATCGCTTTCCCTCTCTCACAAACATTACCGAAACATTGCGAGTTTTCCTGGAATGCGCGCATTAATATTTATTACGTCATAGGGTAAGTGATGTGTCAGTCGGACAGTGACAGAAACCAATATAGTTCCAACTGAAATCTGTTTCTTATACAGTGGCGAAGCAACATATACGCAAAACAACAATTGTTTTTAATTGCCTTTCGCGGCAATCCATCGGTCTGTCCGCTAGTGTAACTGCCCTTTGTCAAAGGGAAGCTTCTCTAACCCTAGTCAATGAGACGTCACGGCCACGGTCAGACGTTGTTGACAGTCGGTCGGTCCTGTCATAACGTTAAGAAGTGTAGTCAGATGTACACACAGCGACAAAACGAAACAAGGTAACAATTCAAACATATTACGGCCAAATCCAACTATTTTAATTTGTGGAGAAGGTTTCAAGCTGCAGATATGGTTAATGATCCCGTTTGGCTAGGCCTCGTGCCCTCGCAAAATTGTTTCGAAATTTATATCGCCAAAGTTGCCAAAACTTATAAAATGCCTTAGCTACGTCACAGTTAGACACTGATTCTCAGTTTATATGACTGTTCTTTTGATAATGATAGCAATTATCCCTGTAGTTTATCCATATTCCCGATGGTTAATTCTGTCTCGATCGCCGAATGACAAGGGCGACGCCATGTTTGTTTATAAACAGTAAAAGTAGTCCCTACTTGACCTTTGATATTTGCATCTCTATCCGCATATGACCCCAACGGATATCGTTTTTATCCGTTGGCTTTAACCTGCCGAGAAACCTACCCATTATATCATAAAACAATTAATGTGTCCTTGTAATGTGATTCATTAAGTCATCATCCTTACGATGTGATTCTTTCCTGATCACGGATATATAAACATTCACATGGGATTTTCATTAAAATATATATAATCGTTACTCAGCTTTTTATTCATATGCGTTTGGAAAAGGAGCGTTACCTCCAACACCATCTCACTGCCTGACGTAAACGAGTGAGTGATTGAGTGAGTATGGTTTTACGCCGCTTTTAGCAATATTCCAGCAATGTCACGGCGGGGGACACCAGAAATGGGCTTCACACATTGTACCCACGTCGGGAATCGAACCCGGGTCTTCGGCGTGACGAGTGAACGCTTTAACCACTAGGCTACCCGACCGCCAACTGACGTCAACGAAAGAGGTATCGATGACGGTATCGAGCTCAAATCATGATGAGCCATAATGTATCTACATTGCAGATCATACATATGTTTCATCTTATAATACATGTCTCATAAGTCATGACAGCTTCCAGCCCACAGCTTTAATACAAACCCCGGCGCACAAATATCCAAACATCTCGAGCAAGTCTATAGTTGTTCAGTAAATCTAGATTTTGTTACTCGTGAACACACTATCAGATATTAACCTTATTTATTATAGTGTATTCATTTCAGAGACTGTACAGTTTCTGTTTGATAATATTTTCTGATAATGGGGATCCAATTGAACAGATTTCTTAACATTTAGACATGAATGCCAAGCGAACACACGACGTTGTCACAACGTTGTGGAAAGGTTGTGTACTGGTAACATCGTTGTCACAACGTTATTATAACGTCAATGTGCAACGTCATTTCACAACGTTATAACAACGTTGCACATTCACGTTGTGAAAACGTTGTGCATTGGACATCACACAACATTTTGTAACTACGTTTCTGAAACGTCGGTGAAACGCTATGGAGTTTGCTTCTCGATAGTCATAAAGGAATAGAACTGCTTTATCAAAATAAACATGAATTTGTCAATTTGTCAGAATAGCAAGACAGAACTGCTGTACCTTTCTATATATTCGGCATTTAAATTTTCATCTCTTAATACTAAAATTCCCAGAACGTAATTGCGTATCTCTATGACAACGTTATTCCACAACGTAACAACAACGTTGCAATTTAACGTTGTCATAACGTTGTGCTTTGGACATTACAACACTGTTTGTAAATGATTTTAGGAAACCACTTGTAGATCTACCATCCCTTAGTTTGATTTTTTTTTTAAACAAATATATCTATTCACGAAGTTATCTGTCTACTAAATGTTGTGACAAGCAATATTACAGTTAAAAACAATTGGTGCCCATTTTGTGCGGCGTGGGAGCGACTGCCGAAAAGTTTAGCCTGTTGCCTCGTGAAGTGACAGCAGAATGACATCACATTGTCGGGGAAGATTTGTTGTCACCAGCCATCTTAGTTCAAGCTCACTCTGGATATATTACAACCAAGTGATTGTGCAGCAACTGGAACTGGACAGATGATCTGTGAATTCGGATGAGGTAAGTTATTTTTTCAAAAGCAGTCTCCGCTTGTTGATATGTTTCTGTACATGCAGATTGTCAAATGATTTAAATATATCGTATTATTCAGCAGTGGCAGGGTTTAGAATGCAGTTTGCCGGTCACTTTCACCATGTCGGGAATCGAACGCTTTAACTAACCCGACCGCCGCCTATTTAATAGGATTGGTTTGTTGTTCAACGCCGCACTCAGCAATATTCAAGCTATATATGACTGCGGTCTGTAAATAATCGAGTCTGGACCAGACAATCCAGTGATTGACATCATGAACATCGATCCACGTACGCAATTGGGATCGATGACATCCATCAACCAAGTCAGGGAGCCTGACCACCCGATCCCGTTAGTCGCCTTTTACGGCCAGCATACCTATTCTACCCCGGATCCACGGGCTCAACACTCATTATCAAAAGAATTTTTTTCAGATATGATTTTGTTGGTCAAGTCTGTCTTTTCAGTCACATCTGTGTTCATGACATCAAGGAACAGCTGGGAAAATCTGTCAAATTTAAGGTGCACAAAGTACATTTCTACTGTGAGACCTGTCAGATGGAAGTTTCAGCAGGTGAAGGGAATTGACACTGTGACGGGTCTTCTGTGTTGGAAGATTTAAACTTAGATGTAGAACAACAGTTAAAAAGACAAGGTTTGCAATCAGAATATATCATTAAGTGATAACTTTACTTTTATAACATGGTCTAGACTTTACTTGTCCGTTTCAAAGAAAGCCGTCGATCCAAATATTGCCGGGATCGATGCTCATGATCGACTCACGATATTAATAACTGGATTGTCTGGTCCAGAATCGATTATTTACATACAGACCGCAGTCATATTGCTGGAATATTGCGGCGTTAAACAACAAACCAACCTTTCATTTTTCTCGTGTTTTAAAATGAAATACATAAACACAGTAGTCCCGTGTAACTATTTATTAAATACATAAGTATGAAATATATAGATATATAGTGAAAATATAAATGGTATTGTGAAATAAATTTGAAAAATGATATTTCACTTCAGTGAAAATATAAGCTTATATTTTCACCGGTGAAAATAAAAGGTTTGAACCGAAACTACTTTCATCTCGAGTTACTTCCCCTTGATACAAAGGGACATAATTTCATGATTACCTCCCTTGGATCGTCTGCTAGCCAAAATGAGCGACAACATAGAGAGAGAGATGATGTGGATAATTTATTATCTGCAATAAATTACAGCATACTTGGTGATAAAAAGTATCAATCTATCAGTGATAATAATGTTTCAAGGTTTCTTCAAGATCTGGAAAATGAAAACACAAGAAAGAAGACAGATAGAGACATTAGAATTATCAGTGAGTACCTAGTGATGGTTGAGGGGGAAACTAGAAAAATTGAAGAAATCGATGCAGTATCTTTAGATTCCTATTTGTCAAGATTTTTTCTGTCAGTAAAAAAGAATGATGGATCAGAATATGAACCAGTCAGTCTAAAAAGCTACCAATCTTCCCTACAAAGATAGTTGAAACAAATGGGTTCTACATTTAACATCATTTCCAATATCACATTTGCAAGATCTAGAGAAACCCTCAAATGCAAACAAAAAGAACTTAAATCAATGGGTAAAGGCAACAAACCAAAGGCTGCTGAAGAGCTGTCAGATATAGATATTGATGCCATGTACGAT